AATAAAATTGTAATCAAAGATCTTAATAAAATTCATTATTGTGTATTTTCTATAATATATCTGCAGTAATTCATGATAGCCGAGCTAAAGCTAAAACAATCTCACTCACAGACAAGACAGATCATCTTACGAAAGCAGAAATAACTTTGCTAGTGTAGAAAGTTCATATTAGTAAAATGATATACGATAGCTATGTATCAATATCTGATAATCAGAGACAACGCTTACCATCCCTGAGACTGTCGTTTCATCAGAACCAAGCTCGACATTATTAAAGGTAAAATAGGATGACATTGCTAATTCCAATTGCTCTGACGTGCAGTTAACATTAGCATCTGTACGAAATGCTCTCCACCAATTCTTGGTATATCCATAGGTTATAAACCAAACGTAATGCGACCCATACATTTTTTGATGATAAACCTAACAAAGATTAATTACAAAATACGGAAATCGGCTATATACACGTAAGATTAAATTTCTATAAATGTAATTAATAGTCGTTGCAGTGACTAATTGGTGACAATGATGTAAAATAAGTCAACTTTATGTCTTCTTATTAAGTAACCTTTAATTATTCATATTAAAACTATTAAAAATTTACAACGTTAAAATGGTTCAATTCGGCATTACTTCGCAAAACAATTTGATGGTAGGAATTACACTGGCAAATAACAAAATAATCTTAGCACCTTTCTCCTATAGAAAAGATATCAATTAAAATTTGATTCTTATGAGTAAGCATTGAAAACTACGCTAAAATAGTCAATATAACTAAGTACAAAAGACTGGGATAAACACATAGTCTTGCTTCGTACTTAGAATTTAAAAATTATAATTATTGAAGTAATTCTAAAATTCAATGTTTTGTTAGATAAAATGATACTATAACGTGGACAATAACCATTATTCGATCTTTTTCCTAGAGTAACATCTCAATGATAACATAATTTACTACCTTAACTATAGAAACTTAAATGAATACTATGAAGCTGATTATTTGTGCTAATTATAATAAATAACTTCAACTTATTACCTTAATGCTTTTGAGTTGTTCTACTGGAGAAGTAAAAAAAGCTTCTGTAGTGATCAAAGTGAAATTTAGTTTGTCTGCATCTCTGATGAAATTTTTAGCGGCCTACAGTTTCAAATTTTCAATGATTTTACAGCATTAGACGTCTTACAAATGATTAGATCTGTTCTATTTCGATAGAATCAAAATGTAAAATCATCCGGCGGAATTCAGCTTGATAGTTTATATAACAAGTGTGTTATAGCTGGCGAGTATTGTGCTATTGCTTGACTTCAATTTTATGACTTAGTTTACAATGCGATAAAATATCATATGTATCGAATTGTAATATAACCTAGTATTGTGATTGTAGACTGTTAGCCATGTTTAGTATAATGTACGATAGCGTAACTTCTATATTTATCCTAAGATATATTTGATAGCCATAACTATAGACTGTAGTGGTATAGACTCTATGCTAGAGTACAGATGGATATATACAGTAAGGTGTTAAGTTACTAATAAGGTTATAGGTAAAAATAGAACTGTAAATCATATATTAGGATATGGTTAATTCATTGTACTTTGGCTGATGTGAATAATGTTGTGAGGTTGATAGATTAAGAATCTTCAAAACTTTAGAAAATTTAGATTTATTGAACAAAACCTCGTTTAAGAAGGCTCGACGTAATCGATTAGCAGAGGACCTCTAACGAGAAAGAACTCTCTTACTATACAAAACTACTCGCTTATATACTTTTCCGCGTTTACAGTCTTAGCACCTTTACTTACTACACACTTCAGTATTAGCATCTCAAATACAGGATAGTTTACACCTTTCACGTGAAGCTCTAGTGTGAGCAATGTAGCGCTCCTCTTCAAAAGGATTACAGTTACTAAGCTAGCTATATTTAATACTTAAGCCTCTAACGAGAATATCTATCACATGTTGAACACAACACCTACGGTAGACATTACTAAATGTATCATCAACTTAGAATACAATATTACACTGTCTTACAAATGTCTACGTAAATACTGTAGTCGTATCCATATCGGATTAATGATGGTCCGCAGCAGAATAGTGTTACTAAGAATAATTTAACTATGTGTAAAAAAAGGTAAAAGGTTGCCGTGCGGATTGTAGCTGCGAATGCTACGAAAAGTATAAAAGCATGCAACTTTAGACTATTCTGTTAATTCTTTCTAGAAGTCTTTAGTGGTAGTATTCGGCTAGAGTTGAGCTGTGTGTAGTTGATCTTTGTATAAGATTCAATAAAGCCCTTATTTTTCTAAAATTTGGG